CCTTAGAAGCCGTGGCTGGGAACTTTGTCAACTGACGGAATAACGTGGAACGCGCAGTCAGCTCAGTATTTGCTTGTGTGAAGTGATCGACTGGTGGTCTGCGAGTCAGGCTGCAATATGCCTCTGTTGCACTCCTATTCCGTGGGATCAAAGCCGGGTGGCGGCTCCGGCTACTTGCGTTGTCTCCCGCCTCTGGTTATTTTGACTTGGTCATGGCACCAAGCCCAGGTACCAGAAGAGGGGAGGGTGTGGTAGATGCCACAGAAGTTAACTTCCAACATAATTTAAGTCACGTGAAAATCACCGTCTCTATGCCACTTTTCTGTGGGACGCACAGTGGAACACTTCGAAGTCGACTGTCAAACTGTCATGTGTGTGTGCTTGTGACACGTGAAACCCAGGTCGTGCCGACGTGGGGAGCTCACTGAATTGTTTATTAATTCGCGGACACCTGTTGATTGTCCTTGCGGCAGAGTGTGTGTGTGCATTAGAAGCCTTGGGCACGTGATACGCGTTGGAAGGTGTTCATGTATGCCTGCGAACGCCCCTCCCCAATGGTGTATGGAATGGGGCAAAGGGAACTGACAATTGAAGCAATGATGAAATGCTGAGATAATTTTAAAGTTAGGTTGCAGAAAGCTCGTCAGATGTGGATGTTGATCCACAAAATGACAAGCACTAGCGCTGTGGTCTGTGCGGAGGTGTAGGTTGGCCAATCGGCAGTGCATATCTTGGTATGGTCACACAAGAGCATCTAGAGAGTCCACACGTTGGTGTGTGATGCAATAGCACTCATGTCAATTATCTTTGAACCAGATGAGTGCATCAGTAAATATGCGCACTGTCGTCCGAACTTAGGTGTGTTGGTTTAGTGCAGAGGGTGTTGAATGCTTGGAGCTTCACATGTATAGACACAATGGGACACTGTGTAATGAACCTGTATCACCTTCCACCTCCCGCGCCACGCCACGCATGAGATCACGTGATTTTGGTTCTCAGCCTGCCCCTGGAATAGCCACAAACGATGCGCAACGCTTGCCTCTCACGATTTCTATCAAGTGCGCATGCACTAGGGTCTGCCTACTCCGGTCTGGCCAATCACCTTCAAGGCTCATTTACACAGACCGTTCTGTGTTTGGTCAATCCAGCAAAATACAGACTCAAACAAGCAGTCATTTCTGCACGCGCTGCAACTTATATGGTAATTTAAATGTTATTGGGCAAAAGGCAAGGAGACTGATAATACTATTCTCAAAAGCACTATTAGTGGTCTCGGTGTATAGTAAATTTGGGCAGATTAATTTTTGAGAAGTCAGCTATTACTAGAAATAACAGACAGTGCAACAAAACGGGGAGACACTCTTCATCTTCCAAAATAATTGACCAATTTTTCGTTTTTCAAATCCATTGTAATCTTCCCTAGCCTGTTTTCAAGAAAAATTTTCAATTCTACGACAAAATAGCTGCATTTATACAAAAAACGTTGGGATTCGGCAGGTATATGACCGTCATGGTACCAGCTAAATAGTCCTCACTTTTCACGAGGACTCGTAAAAGTCCCAAACTCACGCAGTTTTCAGGCCTCACCGCTGAATAAGCTGCATTGAACACAGCCTATACTTTCGGATGCGTTATTGAACATGGTGGGATGGAAGGCTTTATACAGTTCGAGCCCAGAGCAAATTTTAATGTACACACAGGGGCTTCTTCTGTAATCTGTCTTCCTACCGATAGACGGACCTGCGTCCTATAACGGTCATTCTTCGTGGACCTGAGGTTGATGTCTCCACCACGTTCACTGGCTTGCACTCCTCCAGGTAGTCCCTTAATACAGTGGCCGCTTTAAAGCGGTAGCAGTGAGCGTGTCCAACCGCGACCTCTTTGAGGGCGTCTTGCACGGTTGTTGGCAGCGCAACTACCGGAGGCAATTTGGAGTTGAGTTTGGACAGAGCCTGTGTCATAGCAGCCGCATCCTGCTCACTAATTTTGCCTTCCCCTTTTG